GCATGGATGCCCACATCCATTGAGATCCAGAGGACTAAGAATGAGTCTGCGCCTCAGAAGCGGATGTTAGAATCAGCTGCCTGAATCGCATTAGATGCAGCCCCACCCAAGGACGACTACCGCATCCGCGACAAACTAACACCTCCAAAAACATGACAGAACTCTTACGGCAGAATTACGACAAACAGCACACTACTCGGATTTTCTGCAATAAAAGCTGCAAATAAAAACGGAGGAATATATATGCGAGATTTATACGCTGATCGTTCGAAAGACATTAAATCCGTCGAGGGCGGTACTGATGATTAGACCAGGGACCTGAGGATGCCATCGACTCTCGCGCACCTCTCGCTGACCACTGTGAAGGAAGACGAGTTGCACTGGAAGACTGGAATCGCACTTTTCCTCGATTTCAGCCGCGTCCTGTTCCAAGCCTAAGTCCCACAGGCTCGTCGTATCGTCTTCCGAGCTGGCCACAAAGATCCCAGCCTCCGTGGGGTGCCACTCAATAGAGGTGATCGCTGAACTGTGGAACTGAAGGGGAGAATTTCGAGCCAACATGCTAATAAAACAATCTCAAATAAGAGAAAATGAGTCACGACGTCAATCCGGTGAGCTCACGCTAAAAGAATGTGTGTACGCCGTTAAAGCGCTTTCTCCACCACCACCACCACCACCAGGACCGTAGTATCGATGCACCATACGAAGATCCCACACACGAATACAGCCGTCATCAGCACCGGTTAGAAGGGTGCCAGGCTGCCGCGCGTTCCATGAAGCTACGTTTACATCTGTAGAATGCGCATTCGCCACGGTTATCATGGCTGACGTCTACGCCAGAAAACAAAATAATAGGAATCAGAGTACACTCTCAAAATCCAGATAACCTCATTTTAAACACACACATACTAACGATTAAAACAATCGTGAATTAGGAATCAGCCAATCTAACTTCCCTAATAAAATGAACAACTTAGAACCGTAACCAACCAAGCCACAAAATGAACTATGAAGTGTATGGGCAACGGAGAGTAGCAGAGTCGGACCTAGCAAGACTCTTGAAGTTTGTAGAGCCAGTTCTATCACTCAGAATGATCATAAGCCCAGATGAGATGAGTAGATAGTCAAAGAAACATAATTAGGCACTAACCCTAACACCGCTGCGAGTATCCCAAACACAGAAACTGCGATCTGTAGACGTGGTAATAAATACAGTGGGTTCGCTTGGGGACCATTGAATATCCTCCACAGAGCCCTTATGACCCTTGTAGGGCTTCGAAGATACCGTCCAACCCGAAGGCTAGAAAGAGGAGAAAGCGATACGAACTGTAGGAGCATAATGTTAAAATGTGGCCTACGTAGAAATTGGTAAAGATGATGACAATCCAATAAGACCTCAGTAATAGATATGAGACGAAAGTAAAAAAGCTTCCACTGACGACATGCACCAAACAAAGTAGACAAGAAGCCACTGTTTTGACACAAGTACCTCAACACCAAGTCAGAGAGGAAAACCTTACCCCAGCCTGCCAAATGAAAATAGCACCATCGTTGTCACCAGTAGCCAGGTTACAAAAAGGCGTGGAGCAGGAACTCCAAGAGAGACCATAGCCCTCTACTTTGTGACCTTTGAAAGTAAAGAGAGGTGCGGGAGATTCATGATTGCGTGAATATTCTGCCATCACCGCAGAGTCATTTACAGCCAGAAGGGGTCGACGTAGGTCCCAAACATTCACCTATATGAATGTTATACGAGAAAATTAGAGATGACAAAATCGCAGTCAGTAAGCCCAAAACGTCAGATTAATCAAATCAGAATTATTAACGCAACTTACCAAAAAAATGCATTACTTGAAAATAAATAAGATAATGTACTAGAAGCGGTATGAAACGGTGCATGGCGCCAATAACAAACCAACGGGCAAAGAAATGTCGAGAGAGGGGACTAAGTTATGGTTACATGACGCTGGCTAAATGAAGGAAATCACCTCTGCAGACTCAGACCACGTAGCAGCGAAGTAAGACTCCTGAAATTTGTGAGCACGGAGTCGGTTGATTGTGCCATGAGGATGGCGAATTTTCGCAGACTCCACTTCCGGTAGACTATCCAGATCATTACTGATTTCATCATCTGAACTACTATCTGAATCTGATTCATCCGTAGTCTCCTGTAATGAGTTCAAAAAAATACATGGCAGATTCAGCATCACATAACGGTTACAACTGCAAAAAGTTAATACCTTAGTTCACTAAACTGACTGGTTAAAAACTAAGTTGAACTCACTTTGGTAGTCATGGGCCGCATGTTAGACAACCGCATAACAACTATGCTGTTGTCTTTGGCTTCCTGCGTCTGTGTTCCCGCAGCAATATAGATAGTCAAAGGATCAGTCCCGTTTATCTCAACCACCCGTGAATCTCCCATGCAATCGAGAAGGGGTTCAAAGGAAAGAGAGGGCGCCTCAACTTGGAGATGATAATACATTCTGTAGGCTGACTTATCCATTACCAGTTCTTCGTCATCACGAAGAGGGCGTGAGTGGCCCGGAAGATAGATTTCCGAATCTTGTTTGTCATCTTCGTCTTGTGACATTTCGCTCTCATCATGCACATCATTACCCTCACAGTCCATCTTTATTTGTAGCGAGATTAAACCTAGAAATTAAAAAAGCATTTGGTAAAGGCACCATCGAAGAGACTTCAGAATTGCTGCAATTCCAAAAGCTAATGCAAGGACACGCTTAAAAATAGGGAAGCAGAAAATACAAAATACACAACGTGTGACACCGAATGAAGATAAGGCAAAAAACTATTTCGCAACTAAAGCAACCCGCCAAACCCAGACCAAATGAACAGCACCCAAGCACGCAGAATTAGGCGGCAGTTAAGCCAGCCAGCTTGGGGAAATGTGTTAAACATAGGTGATCAAGTAGCAAACAAAATAAGAGATTCTCCAAACTGCAAAAGAACAAAGCATCATTAATTAATTAATTAATAGAAGTCGACTGCGAATTCGCAATATTTTTACTTCTATTGGGCTAATTGTTCCTATGAGCAAGCTGGATGATTTGTGTCGCAGCAGCATTTTTTACTGATAAGAGATTTCTGCTTCCTTTTAATGAAATTTTTAGTCAATAGTAAACTGTGTGTGTAACGTCTTAAGACTTCCCACAGGGAAGAAGCGGTAATCAAGTGGAGCTGAATGCATGTACTCTAGGGAAGAAAGAGGATCAAGATTGAGCTCGATCCAAAAGACCAGACAAATGCCAAATTGACCGCTAAACATCATGTGGGCACATTAACAGAGTACCACTCTGCCCCTCGCCGCTACCTTTGGTACACCTCCCTCACCAGCCATCACAACCTACTCGGTTCTGCAAGAAACCACCCACGAGTCAGTCGTGGTACTCGTAAGCTACTATGGGACCAATAGCAACAGCACTTGA